ATTTTTCAAAAAATGGTGAGGACATGTAGCAACTATAACTTTGGAAAACAATTTGGCATTACCTAGTAAATGTGAAGATGTTCATATCTAACCATATGGCAATTTCACTTCCAAATATATGCCCTAGAGAAACTCCTGTCCATGAGAAGCAGGAATCTTGTACAAATATACAAATGTGTAAATAGCATTGTTTACAATATAAAACTTGACACATAATAATGATAGTATTCCACAGAATAAACCAATGCATTATAATTATATATACAATGAAATACTATACAGCAGTGAAAATAAATAGGTGAATCTTAAGAAATAATATTGAGTGATAAAAGTCCCAGAAAAATAAATTCGTAATGACTCTACTTATACAAAGTTCAAGAGCCTGTGAAATTAAATATATATTGTTTAGACTATAAACATGTAGTATAACTATAAAGAAAAGCAAGGAATGAGTGAAGAGAGGTTCTTCTGGAGGTGAGGAAAGGGGTAAATCAGTGAGACGCGGCCCAAGTGCTGATGAGGGTGCGAGGGGGAAAGACCTCTCTGCTGCAGTCCAGAGAGTGAACAGCAGATTGCCGTGTGCCTCTGGAGGGCAAAGGCAAGGCAGAAAAGGAAAAGAACTGAGGATTCTGCACCACAATAACTTTCCTACTTTATTTTTGTCTTGAGCTGAAGTTGCCAAAATCATAACATGGAAATTAGAACCATCTGTTGACAGGATAAGTTAGTGAACTGGACAGAATTTACCAAGAGAAATTCAGAATAATATATTTTAGAATCTGTGTCAAATCACAGAAAAATATAAATAAAGCCTATTTTATTTGGGAGGGGGAAATAATGCCATTTTATCATTGTTTATGATAGCAAAAATACAGAAATAACCTAAATGACCTTTATGATAATATCGGTGAAATAAAATAGTATACATTAACACTGTGGTATATGATTACAATTGTTACAAAAAATTAAACAGACCAGAACAAGAAAAGTGAAGCAATGGAATAGAATACAGTTGTTAAACAGATACTATTTAGTGCAGGTTAAAGAGTCATTTCAAAACTGTGGAGAAAAATGGACTGGTCAGTGAATGTTGAGACAACTGGCTGCCCATTGCCCTTATCTAAAACCATCTGCAAATACTTTAAATGCACATGGATTACAGAACAATTAAAATAAAATATGGGCAAATATGTTCTATAAACTTAGTATCAGAAAAGCCACCTTAAAAACAAAAACCAAAAGCTATGAAGATAAAGAGGAATAAATATGACTAAATAAAACATAAAACTCCTACAAAGACATCATTAAGAAAGCTGAAAGACAGTTCACAGGCTGAAAGATAATTGCAACATAAATGGCAGAGAAAGAATCAGATATATATAGATATATATATAGAGAGAGAGAGCAAGAGAGCTATAAAATCAATTTAAATGAAAAAAAGTTTAAAAAACAGGCAATCCACAAAAGAGGAAAGAGAAATATCAATATGTGGATATATGCAAATTATGTCTACTATGTAATGCAACTTTTAACCCAAGTGATAAAAACGTAAGGCTTGAAAGCATCAAGTGTTGGTGAGGGTGTGAGTGAATGGCAGTCTCATACACTGCCGTCCAGGGTGTGAATTGATATTGATATTATGAAGGGCTGTTTGGCTGTATGAATTATGATGAAAATGGGCACAAATTATGATTCAGGGAATCCATTTCTAGGAACACACCCTAAAGAAACACTCACATATGTGCACAAGGTTATTCATCGAAGCATTATTTGTAACAGTGAAAAGTATAAAACATCAAAATGTCATCAGCAGGGAAATAATCTATAATAGCCAGGCATTGCAGGAGTTTTAAAAAATATAGCAAATCTCTACATATTGACATACACTGAAGGACAGCAAAGAGATATTCTTAAGTTAAGGAACACTTTAGAAAAATGCAAAATAATCTTTTAAAACAAAGTCAATTCTATATATTTCTAAAGGTACATGTTTGTATGTAATACACAGAGAAAGGTATGGGAGGTAACCACCAAACTAGTTCACTCTGGGGAGGGGGACTGTGTTGGGGTAAGGGACAGTCAAGGGAGATTTTGACTTTATCTATATTTGAATTTTTTTAAATTAAGAGTATATTCACTTATATAATCTTAAAATAAATGTTTATAAAATAATTATGATACAAAAAGTATAAACTGTATAACAGGGGCATGGGCAAAGTCCTCTGGGAACACAGTGAAAGGAGAAACTAGTTTAGCATGCAGAAAAATTTTATAGCAGTCACAACTGCACATTTTCATTGGGCCTGGCTATTCAAAAAGGATTTTGTCAAGAATTTATAACTTGATGGAAGATTGTGGCAGATTATATTTTCCAAAGATGACTATACCAACATATGTCTCATCCAATATGCTTTTCTTTCAATGTGACATTGACACTCCTCCATGGAGAGGTTGGGGGGGTCTGTGTCCCCACCCCCTTAAACTTGGGCAGGACTTTGTGATTGCCTTGATGAACAGAAAGAGGTAGAAGTATTACAGCACAACTTCTGAGATTATTCAACTTATGTCTGATCTTTTCGTTCACAAAATACTCATCCTTGAAACACAGCCACCATGCTGTCAGGAAGCCCAAACTAGCCTACTAGAAAGATCACATGAAGAGGCTTTTGTGGAGAGGAACTGAGGACCCCAGCCGACAGCCGGCATCAACTGCTAGACACGTGAGTGAGCAAGCCTTTAGATGATTCCTGCCCCAGCCTTTGTGTTCCCTGGCTAAGGCTAGATCTGCATCATGGAACAGACAAACCGTTCCCACTGTGCTCTCTCCTAATTCCTGACCCAGAAAGAATCCTTGAGCAGAATAAATGATTGTGCCACAGAGTTTCAGGGCAATGTATCACACAGTCAAAGTAACTGGAACAAAGATATTCTAGAGAGAAGAAAGTATACAAGTAATGGAATTTTCGGTGATGAAGTTCATGGTCTGGCTGAGACCAGACTATGAAAAGTACTTGCCTGGTACTATTTTAAAAGTTAGATTTATCCTATTGCCAGTGGAGAACTGTTGAAAGTGTTTAAGCTGGGAAGTGAAATGCTAAGATCTACATTTTAGCAAGATATCTCTGAGACTCCTGTAAAGACTGCAGAAATGAACGACTTACAAATAGAAAACACCCCTCTGATTAAGATGGGTCCCAGCCAAGTAAAATGGTGGGATCATCTCACCTCCCCACCCAGCTACACGTTTTTGACTTTTTCCTCTTTAGGATTGCTTCTTATGCTCATTTATACTCAATTTCACTTAAATATTAGGAAGGAAAACTTTTGTCCACACAAAAACCTGTCACAGATGTTAAGCTTTATTCATAATTGCCAAAACTGCAACCAAGATACCCTTCAATAGGTGAATGGATAAAAAACTGTGTTACATTCTATTCAGCACTAAAAAGAAAGAGCTATCAAGCCATGACAAGACATGGAGGAACCCTGAATGTTAATTACTGAGTTAAAAAAAAAATCATACATACCAACTGACTCCAACTATCTGGTGTTCTGGAAAAGGAAAAACTATGGAGACAGTAAAAAGATCACTGGTTGTTAGGGGTTAGTGGGAGGGAAGGACGGATGAACAGACAGAGCACAGAGGATTTTTACGGTAGTGAAACTACTATGTCTGATACTCTCATGGTGGATACACACCACTTTACATTTATCCAAACCCACAGAATATGTAACACCAAAAGTGAACTCTAGTGTAAACATGTACTTCCGAAGATTACATGGCAATGGAAGTGCATTGATTGTAACAAATGCACCCCTCTGGTGAGGAATAGGGGGTACATGGGAATTCTTTACTTTCTGCTCAGATTTGCTATGGACCTAAAACTGCTCTAAAAAGGAAGTCTATTTTAAAAATTTTAGGAGAAAAAAATGTTAGGGGGTGTCAGAATATAGAAACATTTTCCTTAATGCTCTTCTCTCAAGCTTCTGGATCTAAATCTGTCTAAGAATCCAAAGCAAGCCATCCAAAAATTATAATCACGTGTAACTAATTATCCATGTGACTAATGCCATCCTTATACCAATATCACTCTAATCCCCAATTTCTTGTTTTTGTGTTTATTAAAATATCCTTGTTGTTCTCACAACTGGCTTTGCAAGAAAACTCTATAAACATGAATTTGGAAAAGAAAATAAACCTACACTAATAGACTATAGCACTTATACATATTGGATATTATAGATCTATGTAAGGAGAAATTTGAGAGGCATGGTCCAAGAAGAGTGAGAAGATACAACTCAAAACAAAAGAAGCCACCTCTGTGATAAGGGATGAACATAAAACCTAAGATGTATAAGGTGATGAAAGATACAAATGAGAACGTTTCATTCTCATGTTGGCGGAAGATCTTCCACTCTACTTTCAGGGAAAATCAAGAGGAAGAATGCATTGAAAGTTGGGAGTTCATGGAGAATAAAGACAGGATGCAGTGACTCAACAGTGAGTCCATCAGATCCTCAAGGATCCAGAGTCACCGCAGAGCCCAGATGGAACTCAATCGTGTAATGTATTGGAGGCCAGTTTTGCATAATTTTATACTGTGCCTTTCTCTAATGTTAATTATTCAAGAGACGACGAACCCATTTATGGCTACTGTGCATCTTGCCTTTTCATATTTTCATTTAATGCCTGCTTTTGAAAGAGGTTATAATTTAAATTCTTTATAAAAATTGAACTAAAATTAATTTTCTGCTTTTTAAAACTACTTGTAAAAGATTTAAGGCTTGTGGTCAATTTTTTAAACAAACAGTGAAAAAGAAAAAAGTAAAACAGAAAGAGAGAAAACACTGAAACAAACGGTAAAACAAGATTATAGGACCATGTTGCGGGTTGAATTTATCCATGCTAGTCCTGTCCCTCATTAACAGAGTTAAACAGAAGCCAACTGTTGCTATATTTCACCAAATAAAATAAACTTCCTATTCCTTAACCAATTTACCTGCACCTGAAAGGGTACAAACTGCTGCTGCTTCTGACAAGCACGTGACTGGAGAGACAATGGAAGGAGGTGCTGCTGGTATAAGCTGCTTTGGCTCATCATCAGAAAACAGTATCAGGTCCTGACAGAAAACACAAGAACACGAGAATTGAAAAAATCAATATCCTGGCTGGACAATGTATGGAGCTACTAAATATCTAAATATGCTAACATCAGCATAAACACATTTCTGATTTAATTAACTCAAACATACATCGCTTGGCTGTCTACTGGGTATAGGGAGGTTCTCCCCCCTTGGGAATCACCACGCCTTGCTGAAGATACCTTGTATAGTTAGCAAGGGTTTTGTTTAGGGTTTTGTCTTTAGCATCCTTACAACATACTATCTCAGAGGCCAATTATTTTGTCTCATTGGTAATAATAAAGCCACTTGTATATATCTTTTATTCATATTTAAAACTTTAAACTTTTTATCATCAAGTAAAAAGTAGACACAATAGATAATCAATCCAATCATGTAGTTAAATAATAATCAAATCATGGCTAATCTTGTTTCATTTATATTCCTACCATGCCTCATTTGTGATCTGTGACAAACTGTTTCACTTCGAAGCAAATCCTAGAATAATCCCTTATTTCAGTATATGTCTCTGCTTTAGTTCATGCGGTTGCTATAACAAAATACCATCAACTGAGTGGTTTATAAACAACAGAAATTTATTTTACAGTTTTGGAGGTTAGCAAGTCCAACATCAAGGTGCCGGCGGATCTGATGTCTGGCGAGGACGCACCTCCTACACAGTGATTTTTTCACTATAACCTCTCATGGCAGAAGGTGACCAAGGAGTTCTCTTGGCCTCTTTTATCAGGTCACTAATTATATTCATGAGGGCTCTGCCCTTATCACCTAATCACCTCCCAAAGATCTGCTTCCTAATACCATCACTTTTGGGGGTAGGACTTCAACTAAGAATTCTGGAGGGAAACAAGTATTCAGATGATAGCACTCTCTAACTGATTAATAAGTTCTTCGAACTGATCAACTGTACAGCTCCTAATGTTGTCAGTTATCATAAACTGTTCATATTTCCAACTTCTCCTAAATGTCATAAACAGGTTTTTCTACAGCTTTTTTGAAAACTGATCCAAACCAAGTCTATAGAGTGGGATTAGTTGGTATGTCTTTTTTTTCTAGCAACTAGGGATAATTTTTCTCCATTATAATTAGCATACAGTAAAATGCACAAACATTAAATATAGATCTCGATAACTTTTATTATATGAGTATTCCTATATAACTACATTTCCTTCACCCCAGAAAGTTCCTTGAAGTTCTTTTCCAGCTGATACCATCCCAACCCTGCATTATGAACACTATTCTATCCCCATAACCATTAATGAGTTTTGCCTGTTCTTGGATTTCATATGAATGTAATTATATACCATGTATAATTTTATGTCTGGTTCCTATTGCTCAACATGTACATGAGATTTATCTATGTTTTGCTGTGCAGTTCCTTCCTCCCTTCCTACCTGTAAGAAAGGAGGGAGAGACTACACAGCAAAATATGTGAATGTATCACAATTTGTTGATCCATTCTACTATATAGAGATTACTTCCCAAGTTAATCTATTACGAATAAAGCTACTATGAACATTCTTGTATAAATCTTGGACAAATGCACTCATTATTCCTAGATACTACATGGTAGTAGTATAGAATTTCTAGGTTATAGGACAGGTCTATTTTTAACTTCATCAGAAACCACCAAACCATTTTCCAAAGTGATTTGCCCCTTTTAAAAACTCAACTTTGAGCTCATTTTAGATCCACATGTAAGAAATAATAGAGCCTATGCAGCCTTTAGTGTGTTTCCTCCAAAGGCAACATCTTGCAAAATTATAGTACAATATTGTACTCAGGATATTGACATTGAAATAGTCAAGATACAGAACATTTCTATCACCATCACAAGAATCCTTTCTGATGCTCTTTTATAGACATACACTCCCTCAACAGAATTAATCTGTTCCTAATCTGTCCTTCATTTCTATAGTTGTGACATTTGAAGAATGCTATATAAATGGAATCATAACCTTTTGGGACTGGCTTTTTTAGCCTTGCATAATTCCTAGAGATTCATCCAAATTGTTTCATTGCAATCGTTTCTTCCTTTTCATTGCTGAGTAGCACCCTTGATATGTATCATAGTTTAACCTGTTAAAGGACCTCTGGGTTGTTTCTAGATTTTGGCTATTACAAACTAAGCTGCTGTGAACATTTATGTACAGGTTTTGTACAATATATATTTTCTTTTTCTTTTTGAGGCAGAGTCTCAGTCTATTGCCCAGGCTGGAGTGCAGTGGCACCACCTTGGCTCACTGCAGCCTCAACTTCCCAAGCTCAAGTGATCTTCCCACTTCAGCCTCCCAAGTAGCTGAGACTACAGGTATGCACCACCATGCCTAATTTTTTTTTTTTTTGGTAGGAATGATGTTTAGCCATATTGCCCAGGCTGGTCTTGAACTCTTGAGCTCAAACAATCCACCCAACCTTGGCATTCCAAAGTGCTGGGATTATAGGCATGCACCACTGTGCCAGCCTAAATTTTCATCTCTCTACTATAAATGCCTAGGAGAGCAGTTGCTGTTCATACAGTAGTCACGTTTAGATTAAAAACTACCAAACTGTTTTCCAGAGTAGCTGTACCATTTTGCATTCCTTCCAGTAATATATTAGTGTTTTAGTTTTTCCATATTTTCACCAGCATTTGGTGTTGTCACTATTTTTTATTTTAGCCATTTTGATATTCATTCCATGTTTAAATTACATTTTCCTGAAGGCTAATAATGTTGAACAACTTTTCATGCACTTACTTACCACCTGTATTTGCTGAAATGACTATTCATAACATGTGCCCATTTTCTAATTGGACTGTTTGGTTTTAAAGTGCTGAGTTTTAACAGTTCTTTGAATGCTCCAGATATTAGTCCTTTGCCAGATACGAGGTTTGCAAATATTGTTTCCCAGTCTGTAGATTATCTTTCCATCCTCTTAACAGGCTCTTTTGTAGAGCAAAAGTTTTTAGTTTCAATGAGGTCTGATGTATCATATTTTTCCTTTTAGGGATCTTGCTTGTCCAGTTCTAAGGTTTAGGTCTAAACTGAAATACTTAGTCATTAAAATACTGAAGCATTTTAATACCTTGTCCAAATGTCTGGTCCAAATGGTATTGTCTTTAATTTCCACGTGTTCATTGTTAGTATGTAGATATTCAATTGATTTCTGTATGCTTTTATATATTGCTGGATTCAACTGACTAATATTTTGTTAAGAATTTTTGCATCTAGTTTCATGAGAGATATTGGTCTGTAGTTTTCTTTTTTTGTACTGTCTTTGTTTAAACTTGGTATCAGGGTAATATCTGCCTTATAAAATGAATTGGTCCATTTTCTGGAAGACATTGTGTAAAATGGCTGTTGATTTTTTTTTATTTTTTGAGACAGGGTCTCACTCTGTCATCCAGGCTGGAAGTACAGTGGCACAATCACAACTCTCACTTCAGCCTCAAACTCCTGGGTTCAAGTGATCTCCTCAGCTCAGCCGCCCAAGTAACTTGGACTACAGGTGTGTGCCACCGTACCTGGCTATTTTTTTTTTTTTCTGGTAGAGATGGGGTCTCTCTAGGTTGCCCAGGCTAATTTTTATCTAAGTGTTTGGTAGAATTCTCTAGTAAAACCCATCTGGGCCTGGAAGTTTCTTTTTCAAGAGACTTATACTTCAAATTCAATTTTTAAAATGATTATAGAGCCATTAAGTTTGGGTAGTTTATATTTTCTGAGAAATTATGCTATTTCTTTTGAATTGTCAAGTTTATACATTTTTTTTTTTTTTTTTTGAAACCGAATCTCACTCACTCTGTAGCCCAGGCTGGAGTGCAATGGTATAATCTGGGCTCACTGCAAGCCCTGCCTCCCAGATTCAAGCAATTCTCATGCCTCAGCCTCTTGAGTAGCTGAGACTACAGGTGTACACCACCAAGCAAGGCCGGCTAATTTTTATATTTTGTATTTTTTGTAGACACATGGTTTCACTATGTTGGCCAGGCTGGTCTTGAACTCTCAGCCTCAAATGATCTACCTGCCTCAGCCTCCCAAAGTGCTGGGATTATGGGCATGCCTGGCCCATAAGTACAAAGTTGTTGGTAGTAATCGCTTACTATCCTTTTAGAGCTGAAGCAATTGCAGTGGTTATCTCTTCTCATCCTGATACTGGTGATTTGTGTCTTCTCTCTTTATCTTTGTCAGTCTTACTGTTTTTTAAATTATTTTTTATTACTTTTACTTATTTATCATTTTTTTTCAAAGAACGGGCTTTTTGTTTCATTCATTTTTCTGTTTTCCTGTTTTCAATTTCATTAATTTCTGTTCTTTATGATTTCATTTCTTCTATTCCTTGTGCATTTATTTCGCTTTTCTGAGTTTCCTGAGAAACTTAGATTACTGATTTCAAACTTTTCCTCTTTTATATTGTAAGCATTAAAAATTCTTTTTTTAAGTTTAAATGTTTACATTATAAATGTAAGTGCTGTAAATTTCCTGCTCACCACCGCTTTGGCTGTATTTCACATTTTGTTCATGTTGAGTGAACCTTAATGTAAACTGGACTTTGGGTGTTTATAATGTGTTTACGTAGATTCATTGATTGTAAAAATCTTGACACTCTGGTATAGGACGTTAATGGGCTGGGAAGAATGTACTTGTAGGAAAGGCAGAGGACATAAGGGGAAATCTCTCTACCTTCTGCTCAATTTTTCCGTGAACCTAATGTGGCTCTGAAAAAATAGCCTGTTAAAAAAAATAAAAAGACCAGAGTGACTTTTTTTTTTAATTTTGAGGGAGAGTCTTGTTCTGCTGCCCAGATTGGAGTGCAGTGGTGCAATCTTGGCTCAAGCTGTCCTCCCACCTCAACCTCCCTGGTGGCTGGGACTCTAGGCACATGCCACCAAGACCAATTAATTTTTTTTTTTTTGGTAGGGCCTTGGGCAGTCTTCCTGTCTTGGCCTTCCAAAGTGCTGGAAATTACAGGTGTGAGCCACTATGTCCAGCCCAGGGTAACAT